TCTGCTCCTTGAATCACTTCTATGCCGAGATAGTACGTTAGCTTTCCAAGATCCGACATCTCAAACTTTGTCGACATATCATTTTTGAATCGTTTCATGACCTTAAGAGAAGTACCGGTCACAAACAAATCATCAACGTAGATAGCCACAATCAAGATGTCCTTATCTTCATTCTTACGATATACCGAGGGTTCCTTTAAGCACTTCTTAAAGTTCATCTCCTTTAGGACTTGATCAAGCTTAATATTCCAAGCTCTAGGAGCTTGACGTAGACCATACAACTCCTTGTAAAGCCTATAAACTCGATCCTCTTTTCCTTTCTTCTTAAAACCTTCCGGTTGTATTACGTAAACTAACTCCTTTAGTTCACCGTTTAAGAAAGCAGTCTTCACGTCTAGGTGATGTATTTCCCAACCTCTTGTTGCTGCAAGGGCTATGAGAAGGCGTATAGTTTCTAGTCGTGCTACCGGAGCAAACACTTCTTCGAAATCTATGCCTTGTTGCTGTACATAGCCTTTTGCCACAAGTCTGGCCTTATACTTGCTCACCGATCCGTCCGCTTTCCTTTTAACCTTGTAAACCCATCTTACTCCTATAGGTTTAACGCCTTCTGGTTTGTTGACAAGCTCCCACGTCTTGTTCTTTTCAATAGAATCAATCTCAGCCTTCATTGCATTAACCCACTCTTTAATGTTTTCAGCTTCAAGAAAGTTCTCGGGTTCACCGTCTATGGTAAGAAACAATCTTCCACTTTCTTGTTCTGCAAGTAAAACATAATCGTTAAGATAATTTGGCTTAATTATCACACGACCTGATCTTGTCACCAAAGGTTGATTCCCAGCTTGTTGATTCACGTCATTATTTTCTTCATTTTGTATGTTTTCTTTTTCCTCCTCCTCATCTTGGTTGTCTTGGTTTATAGCTTCTTGATCTGGTTCTTGTTGGACATTTTCGTGATCACCCTCATGATCTTCTCCATCTTCTATAACACCATCTTGAGGAAGCTTAAACATACCCGGTTCTCCATCGGATTCCTTTGTGATAGATGACCAGTCCCAAGCTTTCTTCTCGTCAAAGACCACATCTCTACTAACGATTACCTTCTTTGTAACCGGATCATAGAGTCTATAAGCTTTGGAACCCGGTTCTGTTCCAAGATTGATCACTTTCTTTGATCTATCATCAAGCTTCTTGATATGAGGCCCATTGATCTTTGCATAAGCAACACATCCAAAAACCCTCAAATGTTCGATGTGAGGTTTCCGGCATGTGAAGCTCTCGTAAGGAGTTTGACCATTTAAAGCTTTTGTGGGCACACAGTTGATGAGATAGGTTGAATGACGTACAGCTTCTCCCCACATATCATTCGGAACCTTCATCGCCTTCATCAAGCTTCTTGTCATCTCCATCAAGGTACAGTTTCTTCTTTCAACCACACCATTTTGCTGTGGCGTGTATGGTGCGGTTAAGTGACGTTTGACTCCATTCTCTTCACAAAACCGATTGAACTCAGCCGAGGTAAACTCTCCCCCCCTATCGGTTCGAAACGTCTTGATGGCCAAACCGGTTTGTTTTTCAACAACACCTTTAAAACGCTTAAATCGATCAAACGCTTCACTCTTTTCTCGTAGTAACATCGTCCACATGTACCTAGAGAAATCATCAATCAAGACAAAAACATAACGATTGTTAGCTGGTGTTGGTGGTGAAATCGGACCACACAAATCTCCATGGATCAACTCCAATGCTTGTGATGCACGAAAACTGGTTTTAGTCGGGAAAGAGCTTCTTGTTTGTTTCCCGGCTAAGCACACCTCGCATACATCCTTCTCATGTATCACTTTCGGCATTCCCACAACCATCTCCTTTTGTACCATGTTATTCATAACACCAAAGCTCACATGTCCCAGCCGAGCATGCCATCTCCATGTAGTTTCATCACCATCGAGTTGTAAACACATAGGAGAATTACTAATTTCCATGGGTGTTTTATAGAGACGATTTGGTGATCTTGTGATTCTTACAAGCAGCCTTCCACACGGGTCTTTTAATGTCAAGAAGTCTCCTCGCATGAGAACTTCACACCCGGCTTCAGTTGCTTGTCCAAGACTCAATATGTTGTGTTTTAGGCTGGGAATATAGTAAATTTCTTTGAGTGCTCTCACCTCCCCTGTCTTGCACACAAAGTTAATTGTACCCTTCCCAACAATGTCAACATAAGAGCCATCACCAAATCTTACTTTCCCTTTAACTCTCTCATCTAAACTACAAAAGTAGCTCTTGTTCCCCGACATGTGGTTACTTGCTCCGTTATCCAAATACCAAACACTTGCATCGCCTTTGTTGATATCAAAATTCTTTGGAATCACTTTGTCTTCGTTTAAGAACACCACCTCATGAACGTAGAGAGCATCGGCCTCATGTGTCTCGTTTAAGTTGGCTTGTTGATGTTGCGTTTGTTTGTTGGGACAATTGTTTGCATAATGTCCCGGTTTATCACATCTCCAACAAATTATTTTGGATAGATCTTTCTTAGGTTTTGGATTCTCCGTGGTTTCTTCTCCTTGGTTTTGGTTTTGGCCATTAGATCTCCCTCGACCACTGCCTCTACCGCCTCTTCCACCTCTTCCTCTACCTCTAGATCCTCCGCGAGACCCACCATGGCCTCCACGATTGTTAGATGTGTTTGTAAACATCAGTTTACCTTGATCGTCACTACTTCTGGTCGCCTTTGTAACTCGATCTTCATAAGCTTTGATTCTTCCCACGATATCTTCAAAGCTTGTTGTGTTTAAGTCAAGAACTTGCTCAAGGGAAGCGACAATGTGAATGAACCTCTCCGGAAGTCCTGCTAAAAACTGTTTCACTAGCTTTACTTCATCAAGGGTTTCTCCTAGTGAAGCGGATTGAGCTGCAAGGCCTGACATCTTCCCTGCAAACTCGTCTACCGATTCAGCATCTCCCATGTGAAGTCGATCGAGTTCTGCCTTGAGAGTCTGGAGCCTTGCGTCTTTCACACGGTCTGCTCCTTGGTGACGAGACTTAACAGCTTCCCACATGTTCTTTGCCGAGTTTTGATCTCCAATATGTAAGATCAAAGTCTCAGGAATTGATTGAAACAATAGAGCGGTTGCCACATCGTTCTTCTTAACGTCCTCAGAACCGGGTTCTATTGTTTCCCATACTTCGCTGACTCGAAGTAACACCTTCATCCTCATTGCCCAAACCGTGTAGTTCGTTGCCGTTAACATTGGACAATGAATTGATGGTGAGCTAAGGTCCTTGGTGCGAGGTTGCGGATTGTTGTCTCTCATCTTGGTGACAAAGCTTTGTGATCAAGTCTCCTTCTTGATCAAAAGAGAACCTTGCTCTAATACCAAATCTAAGTTTATATGTGCTTGAGAAATATAAGAACAACCTTTCTTATTGATTTAGAAAACTACTCAAAAACTAAATCTCTCTCAAGTCTTGTGAAACATCTCTTCACAAGCTTAGTATTTATAGAACCAAGACAACACCTTAGTCCTAATTAGATTAGGAAAACAACACAAAGCCTTATCTAAATAACTTGCCCTTATCTAGATCATGTTTGTGAATCCCTTGACTTGCTCCCCAAGTCACTTGGAATTATCCAACATGAACTTGGCAGTTCGAGCTCATGAGTTTCTCCGATGGGCTATCAGTAGCACGATACTCTTCGTGCCCATACAATAAATACCTCATCGAATCCCAGAAGGATCAGAAAAAACCAACAGGTGGTGGTTTCTCTCCACACCAACTTCTTTCCATCATCAAAACAAGTCTCATAAAGTTGCTCTGCGGATTTGACATTTATCTCGCGTACCCCTTCTTTGTCTTGCTTGTTGCATACGGAACTTTACATCTCATCGCCTCCTATGTATCTAAGCCCACTTCGGCTAGAAATTTGGAATGGCTTAGTCTATTTTGTGGGTTTCTGGCTCTAGGAGTGGTTATCTACTTTACTGGCCCGTGGGTTTTTGCTGTCTCGTTCACAACCGGTGTAATAGTGATCATCCTAAGCATTGAAGGTGTACAACGCTGGTGTACCAGATGTTGCCGCCGAGAGGATGACGTGGAAGCGGCAATAGTAGTGATCTAGATCATGTTTATAATTTATAGCTTGGTGGTTAATTATGTGTTTACGTACGTACGGTCAGCTATATATACCCTATATACGTTTGTCTCCTTGTCGTTTGGATCTACGACAGTACCAGAATCTTAATTTGAACAAAATATTAATTCCTTCTTTATTTTGATGAAAATTTTAAAATAACACTTGGAGATTATGGTATTTGGAAGAAAGAAAAACCTAACTTGCTTTCAGGGTTGAATTGTAATTGACATTCTAAATCAATTTGCGCTAAAAAAAATATAAAATATAGGTATGTTGAGATTCTTTAGAATTGGTAGGTTCTCAATAACATATCGTATCACGGTATCAATAATCAACTTTAAGGCGCAACGAGAATGATGAGGCCTTAATACTTTTCAGATTTCATGTGGCAAGCTACTATACAGAACCCTAAATGCAGATTCTATTGCATCCAAAAAATCACATTCAACAATTACGCTTCTTCTGCTTGAAATGAAAGCATTGTCTACGAACAACAGATTTCTTCTTCCTCTCTCTTTCAAGACTTTATTACAACCACGTCCTAGCTCTAACCCAATCTGGCAAAAGTTATATATCAGTGACGACTTTGCGATTTTTTCTTAGCATTTAATTTGGCTCTAGACAGTGTTTTACAGTTGGCTAAGCATTTCACTTTCATAAGCTTGTTGCTCAATAGTCAAAATTTGATTTGATTATTAGTACAGGTGTTTAAATCATACTTAGTTTACAATTTTGTGAATCAGAGATTTGTGAATCAGAGATTTGTGGAATATTTGTTCTTATACTTCTATTTCTAGCAGTGCTCACATTAATTTAATTTCTACTTCTTTCTTAATTTGATCTGTTTCGTCTCTAGCTACTCACATTGAAAAAAAAGAAGAGGTTTATTATGTTGATCTGGATCCTAAACAAGTGGTTGAAATAAAGGGTCATACTCTTGTAGGTGGTCGTATGCAATTACAGCAAGAAATATAAAGAGACACCAAAGCCCAAATACTACCCCAACATATATATTGATAAAAATCATAACATTATCGATGGGTGTCGCTAATATGAGGGGGAGTAGGAGGATAAATGCCCCAAAATTGCCGGAATATTCCACAACCATGGCTTCCAACGGCTTGTTAGACTGTCTGAACTTGATTTCAAATATGAACCCAAAGATGTACATCATGAAGATCCCAGATACATAGCCAAACACGTCGTCATAAAAGCCATAATTATAGATAATATGAACATTTATCAAGGTGTATGCAATGATAATCAGGGAATGCATCACTATTGAGTACACTCCTCCCGTGAACACCCTGCCATATATAGAGTAGTATATAATGAGAGTCATGCTTGGCAAATCATAAGTATAAATATAAATTCACTAATCTAAAACATTATTATAGAGTATATATATGATTAATATACTAAGTATCTAGATATCTTTGTAAAGAAATGAGTCGACTGTTTTAGTAAAACACAAACACTCACATGAAAATAAATCGAAGTCTGCGGTTGACTATGTCTCGTCTACTATCGGTGTCATCCATCTGCAATATATATATCAAATTTAGTCTCAAAAGAGAAAAAATCATATGGGTTTACAATATTTTTTCATTAGAACACTTGTCTTCAGTTTGAATATGAAACGTAGATATCACTAATGAAATTATAGTGTTTGTAATTTACTTACAGAAATATATTATAAACCAGCAAAAAAGGGACATGCCTTGCCCAAAAGAAATAAAAACATGGGAGATCAGTCTTAGCTAAGATGAGCAGTGCTGGTGCATTTGGTTATGAAACCCACAATTAAACGACACCAGCTATAAGACAAGTTTTCTCAATAATCACCTTGATCGATCAATCTATATGTTTTCGTTTCTAAATAAAAATACCAAAAAGACCAAACAGAAAGATGTACGTACGTATATTCAACAAAAAAGAAGAAGATAGAGGCATTGGTGAAATTGGCTCAAACCTCACCGATGCAGTTTATTAGTGACAACGGCGTAAAAATGGTATTGGTGACGAAGACTCAAAGACTAGAGAAGGTGAGGTTGACAGAGCTATATAACTATTGTACTAAAAATATTTATGTTAACTGGCTAATAATGATGGCATATTTATATGTATCTAATACTTGTTGGAAATATCCTGCACTACAAATTAAATAAAAACAGGTAATATGCCTTTGTATGCCTACATATATTTACATATGCATCTATATGTCTAATTCAAAAGTCAAAATATAGATATTAATTAATATAGTTTAACATATGTAAGATGTAAAATTTATTATTGAAATATGGAATTAGTAAATTACCCCCTCCAAATTGGGAAACCGATCAAATAGTTTTGTTTTAAGTTTAATTTTTGGTTAAAAATATTTAATCAGTTAATTAAGTAATTTATAATTACAGGAATTCTTTTTTAAAAAGATACAATATAAAAATCTAACAAAATTGACTAAACATAAATATATTTTTCTTTAAAAATATAATGATTAGCATATCAATAAAAATATAATGATTAGCATATCAATAAAATATTTAAGATCTCTTAGTATACATAGAATGATTCATACCTAATTTTGTAAAATTATAGTAAAAATCATTAAAAGAAATTAGCAAAATATAGTGAGTAATCATATCAAAAAAACAAATTTTATGATAATACTGGGTAGATTTCATGGGCCGGGGAAAAATAACTATAATATCCATGTATGAAAAACCAATCTCGCAATTACATTTTCTGAAAAACACTCCGAAGAGAAGAAAGAAAACAATTTATGTGAATTATGTGTAATACATCCAAAAGTTTTTCTAGTTTGTTCAAGAAAAAAATCCAAAAAGTTTTATTTTTGATACTATATATAAATTTGTGGTTCATGTTCTTGCATTTTTCAAGAAAACAATACCTTTTGAAAACTAAATTAAAAAAAAAAAAGATTTTCATATATATAACGTCGAAATATCGGGTACAAGATGAATCTAAACAACCAAATCGTTCAATGTAGAACACTTGAGCAGAAATTGAGAGAAGCTCTGGATTATGTGGAACAATGACGTACGTACGGACATCCCCCACAGTTTAGATACCAAGAATGAAAATAACAGTCCAAAAACATTGAACTTACTCAAAAACCTTAAACTAGCTATAACGTTTTGGAAATAAGAAAAACGATGTTGCCGTCGAGATAATGTTTTTTTTTTCTAATTTGTCGTTTATTCTCTAAATGTAAATTACCGCTTTCATTTTGTATATTTGTTCTTTGTCGTGATTCTATCCAATTCCAAATGAAAACACATATTCGGACTTGATTTATTCTTTAAATTCAATTTGGGCATAATAGTTTTTATAAAGTATCAATTTTATGATGAGTTGAAGTCTTGTGAAGGTAGAAACCAAAAATGTCTTTGCTTCCATCCGTTCAGAGCCACGCAACCAATGGAAAACGTGACACTTGTACATACACATGCACCAGTTTTTGTTAGATACATTACTAGAAAAGAAAAAATATTAAAATTAAATCACTTGTTATCCCCTGATAATTGGCGTACAAAATAGAAAAACGTATTTTGTGATACTTCCTTTGTATTTTTTCAAAAATCTCGTGTATATCCTTTCTGTGTTGTAAAGTCTTCTTAGATTCGTTGTATGTAAGATCTAAATATTCAGGCTAATTATGCGATTGTATTATTGTTGTATCATACAAACCTATCCGAAAGGATGAACTAAATTTAATGTTTCTACCAATTAATTACTTTTCATATTAACCTACAACTTATATATGCTACTTTGTTAAGAATATCCCAAATATACTAAAGAAGAAAAGATGAATATTACAGAATAATATAAGAAAATTAAGTAAAACTGCTTCAAATTGTGTAATTTTTAAATAAGGAAGACATACTACTTCAAATGCTTATCGTTTTAATTGTTTACATATTTAATTGTTTTGTATTCAAAATTATATATTAGATTTTGGGGTCAATATATAAATTTTACTTATTTTTGGTATAGAAGTCATGAAAAGAGTATTTGGTAAACAAACTACAAGCCAAATTCATAGTTTATAACTAATTTGTGGTTGTTTTGTTTCTCCTTACTTTCAATAATTATAATGTATACTTTTACCTAACAAAAAAAAATTTAGAATAAAATTATATTTATGGATAATTTGATAAGGTAGAGAGAGAGAAAGAGATGATGATGAAAACATAGGCACATGTGTTAGGTCTGAAGCAAGGAGAGCAAGGCAGCTCCTGCTTCTTTGCATGAGACCTCTCTCACACTCTTCTCTCGTCTCGCCACGAACCCTCTCCCCCATACCCTCTCACACGACTCCTTTCCACTTTTCTTCTCTTGTCTTCTTCTTACATCTCATCAAAATACATATTCAATGTATATAATCCAAAAACTAAACCAATATTTTAAATATACGTTTTTAACTTATTCCCGTGTCTGTATCTAATACTCAATCCCGTATATATATACGCCACAATATATCCCATCCTTCATCTTACACTCATCCATCTCTCCAAAACCAAAACAAACATCACACAAACACAAAGACAGCTTAGATTTCATCATGGATGTCGTTTGTACGGAACATCAGATGAGGAAACCAACGGTGGAGATCCCTCCGAGGAAGCTTCTTTTATCGTCCAAGAGTTTCCCGGCGTCTGATTCTTCATCCCCTCGTTCGCCGCGTAAACACAACTGGAACAAAAGCAACAAAATCACATCTGAACATGAGGAAGACGAAGACAACAACAACAACAACAGGGAGATTAAAGAGTATTGTTATGATTCCGACTCTGATGATCCTTACGCAAGTGATCATTTCAGGATGTTTGAATTCAAGATCCGACGTTGCACTCGTAGCCGAAGCCACGATTGGACTGATTGTCCTTTTGCTCATCCAGGCGAGAAAGCTCGCCGTCGTGATCCTCGTCGCTTTCAATACTCCGGTGAGGTTTGTCCCGAGTTTCGCCGTAGTGGTGACTGTAGCCGTGGAGATGACTGTGAGTTTGCTCATGGTGTCTTTGAGTGTTGGCTCCACCCGATTCGTTACCGTACTGAAGCTTGTAAAGACGGTAAACACTGCAAAAGAAAGGTTTGTTTCTTTGCCCATTCGCCACGTCAGCTTAGGGTTCTTCCCCCTGAAAACGTTTCAGGCGGCTCAGGGTCGCCGTCTCCAGCCGCGAAGAATCCGTGTTGCTTGTTCTGTAGCAGCTCTCCGACGAGCACTCTTTTGGGTAATTTGTCTCATCTCTCTCGTTCTCCGTCTCTGTCTCCACCTATGTCTCCCGCTCACAAAGCCGCTGCTTTTTCACGGTTGAGAAACCGCGCCGCCTCCGCCGTTTCTGCCGCTGCGGCCGCTGGTTCAGTTAACTATAAAGACGTTTTGAGCGAGCTGGTGAATTCCTTGGATTCGATGAGCCTGGTGGAAGCGTTACAGGTGGGTACCTCCTCGCCGGTTACAACACCTGTTTCCGCAGCGGCTGCAGCGTTTGCCTCTTCCTGCGGTTTGAGCAATCAGCGTCTCCATCTCCAACAACAGCAACCAAGTAGTCCTCTGCAATTTTCTCTTTCGCCTTCTACTCCAAGTTACCTAACCACCTCGTCTCCTGCAAACTTCTTCGGCGATGAGTTCACTCCTCGACGGAGGCAAATGAACAACGATTTCACGACGGTTAGGGACAAGACAAGCTTTGAGGATGGTTCTTGTGGTGACCCTGATCTAGGATGGGTCAATGATCTCTTGACTTGATTGACTGACGGTGGAGATCTGACTTGAGTTGTAAATTTCGGTGGAAGAGTTTTAATCACGATTCATTATGAATCATATGGGAAATAACCGGTTCGTACCGGTTTGGTCAAATTTGGAGAAGATTGTTGTTCAAATTTTTTTCAAGGATTTTTGTTTTACGAATTTCCACGAAAGCTAATTAAGAAGTGTCTTTGTGTATTGTTTTTTATTTCTTAGATTTTTATCCTTTTCAATGAGATTTTTACCGAATAATATGTTATGTTGAACTTGTAATAATATCTTTGCTTGTGCATGATTATGATATTGTGAGATCCAATTCTATATATTATTGTCTCTTTTAATCTATATGTTGTTTGTTAGATCTTTTAACTATGGATTCGGAATTTTCACCGTTTTCATGTAATTTTAAGATTTTAACGGATGGATTTTCTTAGTAGTTCATTTATATAATGCTGTATTATGTAATAAGTATCATTGAATTAACCATACATATGACGTTTTCTCGTTACACAGTTGTAGGTTTTAAAAACGAGAATGGGTGAAAACCATTGAATAGAATCTAAATTCTCGGTAATGTTAATCTCGTTCTCGAACGTGTTATGTTTTTTATGAATAAATGAACGAAGATATGTATGTAAAATTCTCGAATTATTCCGTCTCTCTCACCCTGAAACGTGTTATGTTATGGTTGTGCTGGTAGGCGAGAATAATATTTGTATAACGACTCCACTAAGATTGATATTACATCGATCCTTATTTATAATAAACGATCTATGACAAGTTCTCCAATTGTTCTTTGTTGGACACCACACGAAAGCAGTTAGTTTTCATAGGAGGCATATATGTGTATGTGATTGACATATGTACAGATTGAGACGTGTCCAGTGCATTATATTTATATGAGGCACATACATGCATGTATGGGAGCTACGAACATGTATATTCCTTTTTGTGGATTCTAGTCATCATTGCCTATAAACATAGATTACATAGAGAATAGAGATGAAACCACACAAACATATATACGTATACCTATACATATTGTCATGATGTGTTAGAGACGCTCGATGTTTCTTTTGTGAAGAGAACTCTCGAATTTGGATTGGTTTGTTATTGTAGTAATACTAAACATTTTATCATTTTCATTTTCATTTTCATTTTCACAATTATTAGTATTTGTTCTTTTCATTTGATTGAACATTTTTCTTATAGCAAAAGAGAAACTATAAAGGCAAAGGGGTGTTTGTGTGAAAAGTGTGAATGTCGCTGCAACGTGAGAGAGCCTGATCTTTAGTAAAAGACAAGAAGTGAGACAGATACGTTTTGTTGTTGGACGTGTCATTGTAGACGGCGTAAAGCACAGTTCCACCTACCTGACACCAATACCTCATCACCCGATCAACACAAAGTCCAATGGTTTGGACTTAGGATAAAGAAGTCGTCTTAAAAGATACATGCATTCTGAAAAGGGGGAGACCAATGATAAAACCATACATCTATTATCGCTTCATCTTTAACATTTAATCTACCAATAGAAGCATAGCACAGACAGAAAGAAGAGCCATACAAGAAAAGTACAGACAAAAGGAACAGACAGAACTGAATTCTCCGAACTGATACAAAGGATAACTGTTAATATCAAATTAACATCTAGGGACCTAAGTTAAGGTCGAGATTCACCTCATATTCCACGGCAGATGACGGCTCCGGCTCCGGCTCCTGCTCGAAATCCCAGGGGGTCTCAAGACCAATACTGAAACCCATGTCTTGTGGTTCAAACCCTCCTGGAAAAACCAGCTCATCTTTCAGCTCAATAGCATCCGGAATATTTCTCCAAAATCCAGCAACTGCGGCAGGGGATAAAACGTCATAAGAACCGAGCAAAAACGTCATCTCACTCTCCGTTAAGGGAACGGTGTTGTTCACTGGCGTCAGAGAAGCACTCCCACCGTCTCCTGCGACTGCGAGAGGGAAGTTGGTTATTGCGTTGGCGCCACGAAACTCTCTTGAGGCGGAGTCGTAGGCTCTGGCTGCTTCTTCCGCTGTGTCAAATGTCCCGAGCCAGACTCGCTTCTTCTTTCTCGGATCACGGATCTCCGCCGCGTATCTTCCCCATGGTCTCTTCCTCACTCCACGGTAACGCACCTCCTTCTCTTCCTCGATCTTTTCTCCGCCGTCGGTAGCACCAGTTGCATTCACTTCGTTGATCTTCTCTTTGCCGTCGGCGTCACCAGCAGTTACATTCTCTTCCTGGATCTTTTCTCCGCTGTCGGCGGCACCAGGTAGATTCTCTTCCTGGATCTTCTCTCTGCTGTCGGCGGCGCCGCCAGTTCCATTCTCTTGGTCATGTTGTGGAGTCATTTTTTGTTGTTGTTGGGAGCGGATAATATTTTATCAAGTGGAGAGTCAAGCATGGGTTACATATATACACAAGTGACGTAAACTCCAACGAAAGGATAGAGTGAGAAAGAAACGTCAGCCAGGTTTGCCCTAATTATCGTACCGGTTTACTGCGCTCTGACTTTGGTTGTGCCTTAATGGGCTTTTTTGGCACTTGGGCTTTAACAATATATAATCAAGAACTCAATCAATATGTAACGCCATCTTTGAATCTTAATACAAAATAAATCTTGATCACATTGGTGGTATACTTTTGAAAATGAGTTCACAATTAGCCACGGCTAAGATTTCATTTTGTGAAAACGTTATATCTACGTGTAAAAATCTCACTGATTCAGAAGAAAATCTTACTCGTCTTTGCAGAGCTGCCTACACACACCACACGTTGCTAGTTTAAATACCATTGTGAAGAATCGAAACCCTAGTCACAAATCCAACTCCAAAGTTATCGATTTTTGTAAGAAAACCCTAAGGATCCAAATTACGCTATGTCGACGGCGGCGAGTGCAGAAGCGGCGGCGAGTGTGCCTAAGCGGAAACCAGTGTTTGTGAAGGTGGATCAGCTCAAACCAGGAACCAGCGGCCATAATCTGACCGTCAAAGTCGTTGAATCGAAGCCCGTCAAAGCGGCCGCTCGTAAAAGCTCGCTCACCAAGCAAACCCGCTCTTCTCGTATGGCTGAGTGTCTTATCGGCGACGATACTGGTTGCATACTTTTCACTGCTCGCAACGATCAAGGTAACGGATCTATTTTTCCTACACACCCACAAGTTCAAAGCTTTAGTCTTTACGTTTCGGCTCTCTTGATTAGCTTTAGGTCTCGTTTCTCTAGCTTAAAGGCGTTCACTTTTTTGCATTATGTCTCTGTTGTGTTTTTAAAGGTTATATGAAAACTACGAGTGAGTGAAATTGTCAGCTTTTGAAGCCTTTGTTGAAACTACTTGCAACTTTTATTTATGGTTTGTAATCTCTGTGTTTGTGAAGAGCTGTCAATGGTGTTATAGAACTGTAGGGTAGAGCACAGATTTTTCTCTCTGTTTTCACTGTCTTTGTCTCTTCATTGTTCATATTTTTGCAAACTACAATAGTGGTTTGAGAAACGTTCTCGAATAAGGCTACGAGTTTGATGATAAAGTTTACAATTTTCAGTTCGTGTTTTGCTTATGACTCAGTCTATTGTTGAACAGGAGTATATGTTTAAACTTGATTGATGTGTCCATTATGTTCTGCAATATGTGACATTTACATTAACCTCTTTCGTGATAATGGAACTTTGTTGGAGGTACTAATGATATATATCCTCTTTTGGGTTTGCAAATGTGTAGTTGATCTGATGAAGACTGGAGCAACGGTTATTCTGAGGAATGCGAGGATTGATTTGTTCAAGGACACAATGAGAATGGGTGTTGACAAATGGGGACTCATTGAAGTCACGAACCCTGCTCCCTTTGAGGTTAATCGCGGCAACAATCTCTCCCTGATCGAGTATGAAGTGGTCAACGTACCTTTTCGTGACTGAAACCCGAGTCTGTCTCTGCTTCTTTCGGTATTAGTTTAACTTTTCAGAGAGCTCTCTCTCTCTCTAGTGAGGTTGGATTAATTGTGATATTGGATCGTGTAATCTCTCTCTTTGGATATTTCTGAATAGTTTCTGGATATTTCTCATTTATCTTTGCCTCAGAGCTTGTTGATTAATTGGTATTGGTCTTATCATTTAATTCTTAACACACGCTCACTAGTCACTACTGTGGTCGTAAAATTGAGCTTAAGATAAACATTAAATGTGAAAATAAACATAACTCACAACTTTGATCTATATAACTTTAAAGTGTTTTTAGTTGTCACTTTTCATAAAAGACATGTAGATGGAGAATTCTCAATTTACTCCACAAGGTGTTTTGTTTTCTCAAAATACCAGTTTTTTCTAAGGCTCATACTCCTCTTGACTACCATCCAAGCTCTTGTAGTATTCCTCCATAGTGTCAAACTCGTTGGGATGATCGTTTCCTCTCGCATTGTCGTACCCGCGACTAGGAGTGTTTTCAGAATTGCTACCCCTTCTGTCGTAGAAGTACTTACCGTTCTCCATAAACCTTGTATCACTCATCCCTTGCCTTTCTTGTTCATTACCGTAACCTCTTCTGTTATGATCATAGTTGTTGTTAGTAGTGTAAGTATATCCATTGTTGTTGTTGCTAGACTTATCCTTTTGCTCATTGAGATCTGCCGGATCTTGGGATTCTTCTTCTTCTTCCTCAAATGCCTCTGGTAACTTGTTGTTCTTTTCTTCGTCAAATGTGGCCATCAATTTTTCAAAATCTTCATCTGTAGTAGTAGTAGTAGTAGATGAGACCGGCCATGACTCTTTGGTTTGAGGAATCATACCGGAACCTGCCCCGAAATGCCCGTCTCCGAGTCTTCCATTATCTTGGGAAAGTCCAGGAGCAGGAGCTGGAGATAGAGCCACCTCTTTGTTGTTAGGACGGTCTAGGTGAGTGAACTTGCTAAAGAAGAGCTTACCATCTCTAGCTTCTACGTTATGGACAAGGAAGCAAAAAACAGCAATGAAACAAAAAATGGGTTTCAGAGCAGATGAAGCCATCATCAGAGAAGAGAGAGTAAAAGAGTAAAAGACTAAAGGAATTGAGAGATGTAGTTTAGTGGGAGAATGAGTTAATGTATATAAATAGAGTATCAAGAAGAAGAAGTAGTTTAAAAGGGGCCGAGCAAACATGCGAGGATTGAGGAGGGACATACGTCATTCGCGGCGAGTGATTTAAAAATAAAGAGATTGAAAAGGTACAAAATTTAAGAAAGTGGGTCTTCTTGTCTCATAAATCGAGAGATAGATTTAGTATTTAGCATTTGTTAGTTATACGTTGTCTTTTGTTGGTCAAAAAAAAGAGAAGCACCCAAGACATTAATAATGTACAGTTTATACGGTTCTTTTGACTTTACTTTTTCTCACTAATTTGGTTGGTTGTTGAGTTTTGTTGAAAACTGAGGAACATAAATTAACTCATATTTTTTTGGTCAAAAAAAAAAAAAAAAAATTAACTCATATTTTGTGGTAGCAAAGCATATACTTATAGATATCATCACAAGTTATTATGTTCTTAGTAGATTTTATGATTTACTGGACCCGAGTTCACATGCGTTTTAAGGTTTCAATTGTAAAGAAAAGATTGAAAAAAAGAAAAAAAAAACAGTACTTTTGGGAAGAAGAAACGAGATTGATAGAATTGATAGTTGTTTCGTTTAGAGACATTTTAACATAAAGAGAGAAATAAAGCAACAATTCCTTTTAATATTAAGAGTTTTGGGACCCCCACCATGGCCACCATGAATCCATGATGCTTCTCTCAACGACTATTGCTTAGTGTGGAAACCAAGTTACCTCAGCTTTTTTTGTCCGTAATTGTCGCAAATTATTTCTCTCTTTTTTTTTTTTTTTTTTTTTTTTAAACTTGTCTGTGAAAACATATCTAAATGTAATATTTCCTTTTTTTCTAAAGTTGAACCAAGGAAAAATCAGGCATATCATTTTTTAAATTATTGAGTAAATCAGCAATTAAATGTGAACAAAATGTTGAACAAAAAAAAAAAAAAAAAAATGTGAACCAAACAGTGTCTTCTTATGATCTCCAAAAATTTGTTTTATAAAGCCCATGTAATCAGAGCCTTGGCCCAATTTCTAAAAGCCTCGCACTTAAACACGTCATGGCTGACAGTACCGTCAAGTAACAGCAGTTGTTGACTTATTTTTTCAAAACGGACTCAAACGCCGCTGTTGTTTACTGGGAGTCTGTAAAACTCCCGAGTGAAGAATTTACTATTTTCATTAAAGAAGCAGCAAGAAAGAATTCTACAAAATGTTCCAAGAACAAGAAACTTGACCTTGTTTCATGTTTTTACATCTCACTTTCGCAAAACCGTACGTTCGTAGAGCTGTACCAAGTCTCTCTTTCTTGGATTCTTTAACCCTACCAACTCTGCCCCAAACCCATGTTCCAGTATCTCACTTCTCAGCTTCTTCATCGTGTATTTCGAATGATCCGTCCCATTTGAAGAAGACACCCCAGCTTCCGTGCTCGTGCATCTTCTCGGGGTCATTGTCATACCTTTCCTGCTCTCCTGTGCAGCCGAATCTTCTTCCTTCTCTCGCGAGAAATCTGAACCTGACCAGTTTATTGCTGTTTCTACCTTCAAACGCTTTGCACGGTGCAGCGGTGTTGCTTCATCCCAGGCCATAAAAGAGTCTTCTTTCTCCATCAAATTCACCCGCATTTTTTTTGCCTTCTCCGCATTGATGACTCTCTGCCATTCAGAAACCGACTCTTCGTTTTGTTTCGCTCTCATCTCCAACGTTTCAGAAAGTTCCATCTTTTGCCTCTCCAGATCCTCGATTAGTCCCTTAGCTCTATCCATTTCGATGCTTTTTTCCTGCAAAGACATTTGGAGTTTGTTTTCATTGCTCCGCACGGTTTCCACATCCATTTTCATCGAACTCACTTGTTCTTTAGCTATTGCAGCCTCCCTTTCCGCATCTTTTAGCTTCAAGCAGACTCTTTCAAGTTCTTCAATTCGATTCTTAGCTCGGTTGATTTCAATGCATCTATCCTCCAACAATGTCTGGAGTTTGTTCTCATTCTTCTTGGATGCTTCCAATTCCATTTTCATTGAGTCCAATAGTTTCTTAGATGTTGAAGCTTCACTTTCCCCACTATTGAGTTTCAAGTAGATTTTTTCAAGATCTTCGATACGGCTCTTAGCTTGATCAACTTCAATGCCTTTCTCAACCAATGATGTCTGAAGTTTGTTCTCACTGTTTCGAGCTGCTTCAGCTTCCATTCTCAATGAATCCACAAGTTTCTTAGCTGCTAAAGCCTCACTTTCCACATCTTTTAAATGTGAATGATGCTTCTTCTCCAATTCATCTTTCTCTCGCTTTAACATCTGTGTCTCAGCTTCAAGCAATTCAGCTGCGGATTTCACAGATTCATACTTCGCATTCAGAGCCGAAATTTGAACCCTCAAGTCTTTTGCTTCTGAAGAACATTCGTCCACCTTCAGTTTACTTTTCTGCAAAGAACAAAGGTCACAAGACGTGGTACACATAGAGGCCAATGAAGCTGTTTTTAATGAGCTCGTTAAGGTCTTTTCACAAAGATTAACACAGTAATAAACAAGAATCTTAAGAGATGAAAAGGGACTCTAATCTTGGAAGAGCACCTTTAATTCTGAACGCATAGAGGCTAATTGCTGCTCCAAAGTCACAATCTTAGCAGCTTTCTCAGTGATTACCTTCTCCTATCAGTGACCAAGAATAAGAGTCAGTTGACTGTGAAATTGGCTATCTATTAAGCTGTTGTGTGCGATGATAGCTTTTAATTGAAATAAGAAAGGCTAACCTTTTCCCCCAAAACAAGGGAGAATTCATCTTTAATGCCATCTTCCGTGGCAGAAGTTTTCTTCAACCTCTCCTCCATTGCTGCTATTTTCTCCAAAGCAGCTTTTTGCTCACTAACAGTATTCTCGTATTTAATTTTCCAATCAATTGACTTATTACTGCACCTAGTGATTGACGCATCTACCCCTAATTGATTGTTGCTCACGCTATTCTCATCCAAAGTCTCCTCATACTTACGTTTCCACTCAGAAGCCTCAAGTCTTGCGGACCCCAGGACCTCCATGAGGTTTGAGTGGTCATTGTGTATTGACTTACACTTACTTTCCAGGTCATGAATCCGATGTTTGAATTGATCTGAGAGCTTATTCATGTCATCAATGGCGCCCTCGTAACTTTTCTGATATTCCTTTTTCATTTTCTCTCCTCCTTCAAGCTGTTTCTTGAGCAAATCTATTGCATTTTCCATCGAATGATGCTGCAACTTGAGTTTGGAGTTCTCAGAAAGAAGTTCATCCATTTGATTCCCTCTGCGATGAACGAGAATGTCCTGTATACTGTAAATTAAATGATGAGAAAGGTTATATTTCCATGTAGTCAAACGTTAATATTGAAAGGTTAGTTTTCAATTTGCAAGAGTTAGATAAACATAATAAAAACCTCTTTCTCAAAAAGGACGACAGCTTCTGCCACTTCATAGGACCATTGATAGATTCTTCATACTCAGCAACAGCGCTGTCAAGGGCCTGTTTCATACAAATTAGAAAATGTTAGTTATGAAAACAAGACTTGCTTCAATGACTAATGACTAAGGGTCGCTCTGCTTTATTCTTTATTGTGTCTAAATTGTGATGGCAATTTAGCTTTAAGAAGAAACAAAAGGAACCAAACCTTTATCATATCGCCTATATTAGCATCATGTGAACAAGGCAATGCCCATAGTTTCTTGCCCATATCTTCTATAGCACTACAACATCTCGAATAAGCCTCTATATTTGCCACTCGCTTGTGATCCTAAACGCACAAAAAAACCAATCAGCAAAATAGCCTCAAAACAATAGTTGGCATATAGACAAAACTGTATAGATAGGAAAAAGAGAGAGAGACAGAGGGAAATGACCTCAAGCGCCTTTGCAAAGAAACTCCAAAGTTCTCGTTTGTATTTCTGTTTTACTTCGGTGTTTCCAATGGAAGATTCACAAAACGCGGTCAAAGCTTTGATAACCGCCTTATTGTGTGCTTCTAGCAGCATTGACTGCACATGTTTGACAGTTTATCTTACTACGGCATCTAAGTGATAGCTACATGTTACATGAGTCAAAACTTACTTCGTCAGGAGTCTCTGAACACTTCAAAGACGACATGTATACCTCAGTTGCTGTATCACGGGCCTTGCGACCTTCTAGTTCCTCTACAGACTGCGAATACAGATGATGCATCGGAACATGTTAAATCCAAGACATATAAATTTGATGAGAAACACAGAAATAAAACTTTGCACTTTGGTTAGATCGGTAATTACCTGCCATAAAGAAGAAATTCTAGGCACGACATTGTTGTTAACATTTTCTGAGAAAGACTTTGTAAAACTAGCAAGAGGCGGCCCTGTGACGATGGTACCACTTCTCTGCTTAGGCCTTACTCTCTCAGAAACAAACTTCAGAAGGGATTTGATTCCATAGAGAAACTGGGGCCGGAGATTTTCACACTATTTACAAAAACGCAAACAAGTTTTATTGGTGACGAGGAAAGAACAAAACATAGTAAAATATCTGATATAGCTTTACTGACCATACTAGGCCAGAGAGATGCACTAGTGGTATTTATAAAAACTAATTTCTCGGATTCAAAATAAAATCTTAGGAAAGACAGGGAGAGGATTAACCCACTTTGTTATTCTTCGTTACATCTTCTCCACTTTCCACTGCTTCTGAGTTAATATCCTGATAACAGAGAAGTTAAAAATCGTTGACAAACATCCAGAATAGCTGACTCTCAACCCTGAAAAGAAAAGGGTAAGGGAAAATTATCACCGTCATAAGTTGAACAAAGATGGGAGAGAACTGCCCAAGCACGGAAAATGTATTGCCCTTCGCTTCTCCAACATGGTCGTGATTACTAATCTCAAGTAGACAAGAGAGATCAAGTGCAATGTCATTTACACCAAGTGTCTGAAACATGAGGCAACATTTGTGTCATTATACAAAACACTAAGTGTGTGTTCAGAAAAACTTACTCAAAAAGAAAAATCAGTCATAAATATATTTACCGGACCATAGATAAACACGCTTGATAGGAGGATCGCCAAGGAAAATATCTGGCTGTTGCGTGTAGCCTAACATATGAAATCAATGAACTCTTGATGAGACTGCTTCTTCTTTAAAATACTTGAATCTTTGATAAGATAAAGGAAAACTGACCTGTATACCCTTTGACCCTTCCTCTTCAACATCGAGTAACACTAGATTATATTCGGTGCCATCTTCAGAAATCCTCTTCACCGGCTCAATCCACATCCATATATCTCCGGCGCATGGCCTGTGAAGAGTTTGAACTTCAAATCCAATGCTCCTGCTAAGAAGCTACAGATCAACATTAAAAAAACAGACACAGACATTCGCAGCTTAAAAATACAATAACCGTAAGACAGAGAGAGGAATATAATTTTGCCAAATACAAATTTATCCTAGAAAAAAAAGAAATTTTGCAGAAATAAACCAGACATTTTCCACAAATTAAGAACCAGACTTCCCTTACATCATCAGAATCATCATGACAGCCAAAAGCATTGTCTTTTATCCACCAAGAGCACAAAACAAAGAACCCAGAAACGAAAGCAGCCGTAAACCCTCAATCAAAGTAAAAAAAGAAAAGAAACCTGATTCCAGATGAAACTCTTGCCCTGGAGAGCTTTACCAAAGAGAGAAACAACAGCGACAGGACCCTTAAGCTTCTGAAGAGCGCCGATGGCTTCTGGGTCCGTCTTCAACTTCCCATTCTCATCGACGTAAACCAATTGGACGGCCCGACCCGACTCCGCCATATAAAAACCCCAAAGGCCTCTCCTTTCTTCCTAGTGATGAGTCACTCAGTATCTTCGTTCCAAATTCACAATGGGTTTGCTCCGATCGTCTACGAGTCGGATTAATTTACAGAATAAATAAAGTCGTAAACTTGAAGAAGTACCGTAAGATACTAAAAGAAAAGATTTGAACTTGGGGAGAGACAGACAGAGAGAGAGTCGAGAGATCTTCGAAGGTTATAATGTTTCTCAGCCGACTGACTAAAACAAAAGTTTTATTTTAGCAAGTGCAGTTTTCTTAACTGAGTTTTATTATAAAAACAAAAACAAAACTTAGGGATAATATAATAAGCCCAACAATTTTATTGGTTCATATCAATCGAAGGCCCATAAGTGTAAGCCCATAAAGCTTTTCCAGGTTTTCTCACCCCAGAGTGACCTGAGACCAGATCTTAGGTCAAATCTTTTTGATGGTCCTGAGCCATTGTGTTTTTTTTTTTCCATAAAGCCCATTGTGTTTTTGTCCCCCATCAATCTCATAAATTAATATGAGTAAAGTACTACATACTTTTATAAATGAGAAATTTCTCTTTTATCTCTTCTTTTTATATATTTCTTCATTTTCCATTTTCTTATTATTATTTTGCTCCACCATGAATTGCCCTGCAGGTTAAGTTAAAATTATTGAACTCAAAAGCGTCCATCTTTTCTTTGCGCCCACCACTTCTTGATCCCACTCTTTTTTATATGCATATACAAAAAAAAAACACACACACACATTTTATTCTAAGTACTTATTTATGAAAAGCAAATCAAAGATCTTTCTACACGTATTGAATGAATATGCATGACTCTTAACTTTCTTTAACGAAAATCTGAATATAGTGATACCAGTGAGTGAATCACACTATATATAAACATTGTCATTATGCTTGTCTCTTTTAGTGTGTAGACTCTATAAATAAGAAAATAAGAACATTACCCAAAATAAGAATCTACCTCTTTAATTAGCTCAAATAATTCGATTGAAGAGATAAAGTAGAAATATGTACATTACCATAAATCTAAATCTTTAAATTAAATAGAGAAAGAAAACAGCTTTAATAACTTGATTTCATAATTATGATAGAAAATTTAAGAGACAAATATTATTAGAAGCGTCTTCATATCCATCCATTGATAGAGGATGAGTGACAAATTTTTTGTTGCACACCAACCCCAAGGAAATCCCGAGTTTGCCCTCCTCCACCTGCATCTCCAGTCTCAACTCTTCTACGCTTCCAGGGGTAATTTTGTAATTCGTCTATCCCCGAAACGACCGTAACGCCACTTCTAGGGTTCCCGAACTCGTGAAGACCGTTGTTACTCATTAACCCAGCACTGTTGGATCCAAACAAAGCGAAGAACTTGTCGCTGCCACCGTCTTCTATAATCTGACTCTGGTCGGAGACTTTCGACGCAAAACTCTGGAGAAATGCTGATTGGTCGGTGGTGATCGTTGTCGTCGGAGGCGTAGAAGAAGAAGTTGCTCCCATCTGAGCCGCTTTTTGAAGCAACGCTGTCGCCGACATATTCGCTGTGACAGCTGCGTTTGCGTCTTGGGTGATTTGGTCGACGCTGCTGAAAAGAGAAGGCACGGATAGAGAAGTAGCCGCGTTTGCGTTTTCCTTACTCTGGACAGTATTGATATTATTCTCATGTGTTATGAGTGAATCGCTCGTCGTTATTAACTCGCCGCGGTTATTCTCGTTCCCGAAAACCCAGTTGTAATCCTCGTGCGGTGAATGCGGCTGCGGTTGCCGTGTGATACGGTCCTCAATGGTCACTTGCTGATGATGATTAATATTTCCTCCCATCCATAGGGAGAGCGAAGAAGTAGGTTTCATGGCGTCTTGATGATGATCGAAGGTTGTGATTGGGAAATGGTGGTGGTGATGTTCTGTCGAAGATGGTCCGAATGGAAACGACGGTGGTGGCTGAGGTGATGGTGATTGGATTAGTGTGCCCATTAGATAATGGTAGTTTAGATTACTACCGGCGGTTGCGGCAAGACTTTTGAGATGCGAGGCTGCGTTTAGCCTTGCGGTTTCTTCTGCTAAGGCGTCACAGAACGCTCTATGTGTAATGAAGCTGTCTCTCCTGTTTCCAAGAAAAATCAATTAAACACACCCGTCAATTACAGTACTGTCTTTATAGCAATTAAGGAAAAAGAAAACTATACGGTCGTACGTACATCTTACTTTTAACCTAAATATGACAATCCAAGAAACTGTCTTATTCAAGAAATCAAGCAACACGCACGCTCAGAGAATGACCATTACATATATATACTTCAAATTATTTAGTTTTAGACCCTACATGAGCTACTTCTAACAACAACACAATAATATACATATCTTATTATACAACATGATAAAACGAATTTTGTTTTGTGTGGTCCATTGATATAATAGTGTCGATTAGTTAAAGTAGCATATTTTTGTTTTGTTTTTCATCATAGTATTCACCAGGTAAAAATACTAGATATAGGTTTAGTATGTAAATAATGATTAAATATATATAGAATATGAGATAGATCATGTTATGAGCTAGGTGGTCATATTGTTATAAGAATCTTTTATACCTATAAAGACACCTCCTACACGTATATGGTATAGCTACTAAAATGATACTGTGATGATATGTAAAGATCTATTAAACACATACGCAACGTATGTATATATACATTAAGTACCTGGAGAAAATTGTACCACAGTCGCATCTATACTCTCTAGTCCCACAAGTCTTGGAATGAGCCTTCCAATCGGACTGGACTGCATATCTCTTGGCACATTTCTCACACTTCCACTTTTTCTCGCCATGTTTCCGACAAAAATGTTTCTTGATTCCGGTGAGGTCACCGAGTGCCCTTGTGGGATGGTGGTGGACGCAACTCTTCTCAGGACATACATACACTCGTTTCCTCACTTCTTTGCTCGTCCTCTGCTTTAGCTTCCATGGGAGGTTGTGCCCTCGACGGTGAAGCTGTAGATTCTGGTCTCTTTGGAAACCTTTTCCACATATCTCGCAGAGGAAACGATTTGTGGCCATAAGTGTTTTTGGAGATAGAGCTATGACTTCAGCCTCTGGATCTACAGAGAACGAAATAAACAGTCAAACTCAGGGGTGTTAATCATAAATCATGTGAAAGATATATAATCAGTAGAACGCATGCATGTTTATAGATCAAGATCTAAAACAAAACAAAAATATCAAGAAGAGGAAGAGGAAGTTATTGATTAGGGTTGATTTTAGTGATGAATTATATCTTGATTATATCATTAGTTACCAGGATTTCCAGGGAGGTTTCTCTTCTTCTTGGCAAGAGGAGGATTAAGAGATTCATGTTCATGATGATGATGATGATGATCAACATGATCAGTCGTTGATGAGCTTTGGACATATCCTCCACTACTTGAGATTGTTTGATCTTCAGCTGTCATTCTTCTGGACAAAAGTTTTATTGGAAGAAGGTAAGTTTTAGATAGGAGGTGGAGAATAAAAAGGGCTAATCAAGAGAAAACAGCTTGAAATACTTAAGAATATGATGCAGTTAATTATGAAGAAGAGGAAAAACACAAAAGAGAAGTTATACTGGTTGTATACTTTTATATACTCTCATACACACTTGAGCGCATACATGTGTAATAAAAAAATAAAAAATATTCTTCTCTCTTTCAAAACTTATATTTAAGCACCTAATTTGATCTGTAAGAACTGTCGCAGCTAGCCAGTTTCATAAATAATTAAACTTTCATATTCCATTTTTTAATTTTTCTATTTCTTGGCTAAAAGTGAATGGCAGTGGAAATTAACTATATACTACTTGTATAAATCAACTTGACTATATATTTATCTCTTGAAATTTTGATTATTTGTGTGTGTTTAGCAGTGGCAGTGCGCCATGACACACAAAAAGTTATATGTCTGCCTTTTCTATTTGGAATGATGATCTCATTATTTATTACCTCCGTTCGTTCTTCCTTTCTTTTTTTTCATCTTGCGGTCAGTTACCTTATTTGTTCTACTCCTTTAGTTATATAGTTTCTCTTAATTAGTGTTATTTTTTTGTACGTTGACAACAAGTGAAGTATTATTGTTTAGTTATAGTTTCTATTAGTGAAACATCTTCAGCTAGTTAAGGTTTGGCTGAGGTTTTTTCTTGTAAAGATATATACCATAGGCGTTAATTATTAATGAAGTTTAATAATTATTAACGATTCATTAGGTTGTACAAGAAAAGAAAAACTATAATACGATAAATAGTCCGAAATTAGGGTGGTCAAAGAAGTCAGCAGATCCAACGGCGTAGGTTACATCTCTCGTTTGTTGAAAAACAAAGCCTGCAATGCACGTGTACCCATGCACGTGCTCGTGAGGTAAAATCCAACAACATACGACAACTAATTAAAAACCTAAATATGCAAAAGAGAATAACCGTCCGCTCGACAGTGAAAACAAAACCCATGCGACATATTCGTTTTTCCTTTTTTTTTTCTTCTTCAAACAATTGCTAATTTTCAAAATCTCTTTTTCATTTACGTCAAAGATAATTAATAGTTTGTGGAATTGAATATAAAAGTTTGTAGATACGAGTATCTTTTTCATGCTTTTCTTACAAGGATCCTTTTTAGCAATGTTCCCTTTTCATCTTTTTCTTTAACAAACTTTTTTTTTTCCTCTACAAAATAAAAGTTTTTTTTTTTTTGCATATAAAAATGGATTGTTTTCTAACGTTTTTAAGTAAAAAAAACAGACCTTACTTATAGAGAAAAACATCAATACTCACAATCCCCAAAAGATAAATGTTGAACAAGAAAAATATATAATTCAAATTGTTTGTAATTGTACCACGATCCGGATATATATAATACAACAACAAATATTACGTCAAACAAAGTCTCGAACATATCGAGTTTTCAAACAAAAGTAAACTAACTAGATGTGCTTTTTTAACCCCCTAAGCTGAAAATAAAGTAATATTAATTAATCGAAAGAACGAAGAGAGACAGAGAACTGACAAAATGCAGGTGAATTTTTGGAAGGAAGAGAGGTCGTCAGCTTGTGGGCTGACTTGATTACCAATTCTTTAGGTAATTTACACTTTTTAATCATAATGTAATCATGTTTTAAGATTCCCTATAAAATAATAACATTAGTTTAACGTTTTGGTTTTGGACTGTTCTTCTTGAACTTTGGCGGCACTAGAATATTCCCCCCTAATTTCTCGAGACCTATTATATTGTATTGTTTCCTTGATCAAATCATCAAGATTCACATATACACACCAGATACGCACTTCACACAAACGGGTTTTCAAAGAAACGCGTTTGTATGTGTTTTTGCAAAAAATTTAAAAACAGAAAACGCGTTTATATGTGAAAAGAAAACCCTAATATATATGGCACATCTTTTTAATTATACAAAGCTCCTACAAATGAACATTCACGTAACTGTATTTATTTTTATATTTTTTGAATTTCATCCATTGCGCTTATATTAAAAATTATAGTTCGAACAATCATTCCAGCTGTATCTAAATTAACTACCTAATCGGTTAGTTCTATTTCCATTCATGGATAAATCAAAGAGAATAACATTGATAAGACATATGTAGATCCAGAGGGTACATTACAGATATACCACATGTTTTTTGGTTCATAAAAAGTAGTCCAATACTTACATCACATGTACCCACGATAGTGTAAGAAAACACACACATATTCCCAAACTATATCTATTCATTAGCATTTTAAGATACTAGTTCGTCTAGATGCAATCGTTTTTTTTTTGGGGGGGGGGGGGGGGCAAAGGTCTAGATGCATATATACACGTATTCATAACGTACGCTTTTTATGTACACATTTTATGTGCAATATTTATGCACATGGTCATATGTAGATGTAGAATAATGTATATTAGCATACACCAAAAAGTATTAACATGGATTTACATAAAACAACATTAGCTAGAATCCATATATACTTATTCTTGGGAGAAAAATAGAAAAGTACAAACAAAACAAATCACAACTAAAATATGCATACAATCATAGATACTTGTAGTAAACGTATGCGCATATATATAAAAAGAAAAATGCAGGAAACGACATTACAAAGAAGACAAAGGATAGATCCATACCATAGCATAGAAACTTGGCGATATATGAAATAAAAATAATGACATAATGGAGATATGATTAGACTTAAAGTATACATATGTCACTTAGTGGGTGATAATGGCCTTCTTGTTTTTACTCGGACTTGACCAATCCAATACATTTTCCGGTCAAATTGATTTCGACATTCTACAAATGATAATCCCTCTATTTCTTTTATATCTTTTTTTTTTTTTTTTTTCATATATCAACTACCTTACCTTCTCCGTTTTTAAAAATCGCTCTATTTCTTCGTCATTACAAAATAAATGTTTAATATATAATATTGTAAATGACAGTTTTTTAAAAGTATTATCACGACTACAAGTCTACAACGTCTCCGATAACTAGGAAATTAGTATTACGAGTACATGTATATTTTGATAAAACTATATGAATAAATATGCTACATATAGAATACAAGAAATTTGTGGAATGACACGAGCCAATTAAAAAATATGGTTACGTTCCATGCAATTTATAGGTGGAATTATATAATATTTCTAAAGAGATATTTGAAAGATTCTTTTTCTATGGGTCATAAAAGTAATTAAAAGATAAAGTCACGCTTTCCAACCATTTTTCCACAAAGTTGATAGAAACTGTTCATGAGAGCAAAGCGATATAAAGAGAGTAATACCTAAAACATAGGATCAAGTGGTAATTAAATAGCATTAATTAAAACATAGTTAATTGAAATGGTCATTGTCCTCTGTAGATGAATCTTCATTGTCAATAATGTACATACAAACACCAACTTTCATAGTTGCAATATGTATGATCTTACAAAACTCTATAATTTTTAGACAAAATATGTAAGATTTGAACTCTCGAGTAAAGTTTCTTTAGACTAGCCAATAATTAATGGGAAATTATTTTTCTTTTATTTTAGTTGTTAACAAAGTTCAATCGTGGTCGTCCAACATGATAAACTTTGAACTTACATTGAATCGCGATTTTTCATGACTGATATGTGTCACTTGTATTTTGAACTTTTGGTCGTAATTACAAATTTCAGAAGTAAGATTGTAATAACTAATTTCATTAATTAATTTTTTTATTCTATATATATTGTCACGTGTATAACCACGGTCACAAATATTGCCTTTCGGTTGAGAATACTGAGATAAGGTATGATTCTCGTGAATCACGATATCAGATTTTATAATCAGATTCTATATATATGCTTCACGATGCAACAAGTAACATATCTAGTCAGCGAAATTAATTGTCGCATAAACTGAAATTTCTGAACTTTTTGCTTCGTACATAAATCTTGCTAAATCTTAAGCTGACATTTTCTTAATATAAGTGCTAGATGCGTATATCCATGATATGTATGATCACAAGTTAGTTACAAGTATTCTCCCGATCGACACCATATATATATAAAAAAAAAAAATCTCCATGATAATTTTCTTCAATTATTAATTCAAATGATTGAATGATGAGGACATATTTATGGCAATTTTCATGTTACGTATATGTGATAAAGATTTGAAAAGACTAGTTAAAAAAATATCTAAATTGCTACCAAACGGTCAAATTAGGTCCACCTTCATATCCATAATGGTTCGTTGATGCATTCGGGCTCGCAAAAAGCATGTTAAAAAGTTAGTGATAATTACTTAAAAGTGGTCTCTTTTCTTCGCAATATAGTAATCAAAAAATGTTATTGGCTTCATGATTGAAGGTTGGCCTCATCAAATATACTACTAGTTTAACCAAATGTGTCACGGTCACTTGTATGGTTTCTTAAAACTTAAAATACCATTAAAACTGTTTTTGAAAAATTAGCATCACTGAAACCTATATATACACACACCTATGCAAATATATTTTTTATTTGACAGAATCTGCCACATATCTATCAAGAAATTTCTATTTTTCTTTTGTTTCTGTAACACGAATATATTGTGAATTTGAATTGATGATATCGACGACATTTTCCTTTGGTTTTATGAAGTGCCAAACATTTATCAACTAAAATATGTTATACCTTTGTATTTTAACACAAGAGTTATGGTTGCACATATACGATTACTAATTTACTAGCTATAGTTTTGAAACTTTTTGTAGTTAGTTATTTGCCAACGAACGACCATATTAATTTGTTATTCATATATTTTGCTAACAATCATATATACAGTATTGGACGGGTTTAAATTCGTTTTAACTTATATTGGGCCGTGCTTATTTAGCCATCGGATATTATTTACCGTAATGGACGGGCTTAAATTCTTAATTTATTATATTGGGCTATACTAATTTTGTCAAGACCATTGGTCACGAAACATTACTAACCCATTAAGAATGGGGTTGTGATCAAAATGAGTTGATCTGAACCTCAATTGCCAAATCAAAACTCCATAAAAGAAAATGTCGTCTAACTGAAACCTATCTGATCCAAAACAGATGACATAAGCATCGACTTAGCTCTCTATGATCCCAAACGAAACTAATCGAAAATAAAACCAAACATTTCCTTTTCTTTTTGAATTATGTTTGATCGATTGATTTCCTTTTTTATTTGTTTTTTTTTTTCTGATAACGTATAACGCATAGAATACGATTCGATAATTTCCTTTTTTCTTATAATGTAAAGTAGTATTTATATTTTAAAAAATATATATGATTTGAGTATTTTCCTTTTCTCCGTCAAAGTAGTTTCCTTTTTTTTCTTCTTAAAACGTATAGTATTATTTATAATTGTAGTTATTTCCTTTTTTTTTTGTTTTCCGTCAGAGAAATTTCCTTTTTTTGTTTTGGTAATTTCCTTTTTCCTTATAACGTATAGAAAAGTAAATTTCCATTATTTTTTTTTGCAGGGAACAACATCAACAATTCAACACATATGATTCCTTATAAATACGCTCAACATCTATCAATTTGGGAAATCAACACAGACTCTTCTTCAGTCTTCACCAAATAGAAAAAAAAACGATGATATACAAGTTTATAGAGGCGGGAGCGTTTCAATGGCGTAGATGTTTGAAGAATGAAGAAGATTCAGAACAGAATTAGGGTTTGGAGAATAAACAACAACAACAACGACATCTATGGTATAATCCTCTTCTTCAGTTTTCACCATCACGTTTGTCAAATTCTTTCATTGATAAAAACGTACGGACGATCACCGTCTCTTCTTCTTCTGTTCTAAGTTATAACTCTCACAATCGTTGATGAATTTGCAGGATATATGGTGCAAGTGAGGATCGGAGGAGGGCGTGGATTGTTTCCATGGCGTTTCTCCTTCAACTCTCATCTGATTTGACGACCAACTTATAAGGTATACATGTTTCTAGGGTTTTCACTTTGCCTCTTTCTGTATAGTTACAAATTAACGATATGATTCTTCTTCTAATTTTCTCTATGTGTAGATCCGGGTGATGGTTCGAAGAATGAATGAAGTTTCATAACAAAAAACTTGGTCGGCGTACTCACAGTAACAACACCAAACTGATTCTAGTCATTGTTGGTCTTATTCTTTGTTATGGTTTTACGTGTTGCTGCTTGCTTCTCTAGATTGAGATATATGGTTCTGATCGAAAACTCCTCTTCTTGCTATGTAAGTAATCTCAAAATCCTCTCTGCCTTTCTTTATTTTTCTTCTGTTTCAAGTTTACTAATTATAATCCTTTTTCTTTTTTGTTATGTTCAATGCAGCCAGCCTATCATCAACACTTATGCAGCTGTAATTCAGACTTTGGGGAGGTTTATTTTATGGTTTTATCATTAGGTTGTTGTTTAAATTCAGGCTTGTAAATTAACAATGGTTTCTTCTACTTCTATATATTTGCAGATCATATATGGTTTGAAGAATGGAGAAGATTCAGACTGCTCAAGGTTTGTTTCAATCACTCAGTAAGTTCGACCCTACGATGGTTAAATCCTATTCTTCATCTGTAAGTTATCTTAAAATCCCTCTCTCCTTTAATTTCCTTTACTTTGTTCTGTTTCAAGTTTATTACAGCTGGAACTCGAGAAGGCACCAAAAGATTCAAAGCAAAACCTTTGGAACAAAGAGGTTCTTGTCACTGCCTCATGAGTCATGCCAACGTTTCCACTCCGCAGGTAATATATAACAATGGAAACTCTCTGATTCTTTTCAAGAGTTATAAGAAGTAAATAACTTGTTCTGTTAATACCATCGAAACCAATGTGTTCTGTTATTTTTTATGCAGATTTTGGCAGCTCCAGATTTGCCTACACCACAAAGAAGTACACCACATATTCAAGAACTTCAGGTAAATACTATCCATCAGAGATTATATATCATCATTTTAGAACAAACTCATAGCTTAATGAATGTGTTTATTAATCTACAAGGATCTTATTTGCTTACTGTTGCAGGAATTTTGAATGGTAAGGGCTAACCAGCATACAAAGATATCCTCAGTGTCTAAGCAGGTATGAAACTTTTTGCACTTGCATTTTGAGAATTATACTCGTTTGATTCAGAGTTCTCACTTAGGCTGTTGTTTCTGCAGATCTAAAACTTATGATTCCTCTGGTTCTATGTGCAGATCGGGGATATGGTTTGAAGCATGAAGTTTCATAACAGAACACTATATCAATGTCATGAAACAGATTCTAATGATTGATTGTCTTTGCCTCAATAAGTCTTCTTTGTCCACTTAAAATTCGCCATTCATAAGTGAGAGTCTAACTTGCTGTTAAAGTCTAATGTGTTACAATTTCTAATTTTAGATATTCGGATAGAGATTTATATGGTTTGCTTGTTGCTTCTGTAGATGGATATATGGTTCACTCTCTTCTCAGCATCAGGGATGACCGAACAACAATGGTCAAATCATCCTCTTATTGATCTGTAAGTTATCTCTAAATCATTGTCATAATATTCCTTTTTTTCTTTTTGTTATATTCAATCACAGTCTCTTCTCTTTTACTCTCAGCATGGTTTATATGGTGGTAGTATTGTTTTGGTGTGTTTGCAAGTGAAAAATACGTTGTTTACATGGCGCTTCCTCAACTCCCATCTGACTTGACGAGAACTCGACTAAGAAAAGGTAAAAATCCAACCGGCTCAAGGTTTTGTTTCAGTCATCAAGACTGATTTGTTCACCCATTCACTATTGTTTTCTGCTGTAAACTTTGAATCATTCTGATTATTGCAGGGTAAAGATCCGTTAAAACTAGTTAGCTACAACTCTTTCATCACGACGCAAGCCTCAGGAAAGAACAAGTTATTCTCCTACTGATGCAGAGGTCAACAACAAGACCGCAGATGCCAGGTTCTATATCATTCCTTTTGAGATGGTATTGTAGTTAAGTTAGATGAGAGGCCATTCTAATGCTCTGTCTTGTTCATTCAACAGTAATCTAAGGGATGCGAGGTTTGAGCAGATGGTAAACAAAGAGAATAGACCTTGCTCAACAGAAATTTCAGGAAAGTAGGTACCCTCCATTCCATGACAGATTCTGTAGTGATTGATGGTCTTTGACTAATTGACTCAATAACTCTTCTTTGTCCACTTCAAATTTCTGATCCACATCTGGCTAGAATCTGAGGTAAATATCGTACCCTCCATCACAGATTTTAGAACTGAGTCATAAGCTTAATGAATCTGTTCAATATAAGCTCATTAAGCTTATGACTCTGTTGTAAAGAAAATCACCACTTTAGAACAGAGTCATAAGCTTAATGAATCTGTTTTATTAATTTACAAGTATCTCAATTTTCTTACTGTTTCAGGGATTTCATCTTATCAAACAATGGTAAAGGCATGCAGAGACGTTATTCATCTCAGAAACTATCCGTAAGAAAGATTGATCGATCTCCTTATTTCCTCCTCTGTCTTCAGAGTTCAGTCAATCGACAACGATTTTAGTTCCTAACTACACTTGAAATCTTGTTGATTCGTTTGAACCCATGAGACTACGAAGCGGAATTGAAGATTGCCTAGACAACTACAAACTACACAACAGTGCAGTAAAGAAGGCCTTCGTAATGGGCTTTTCTGTGACGGCCCAACCAAAATCCAATCAGGTATCATACTTTCTTCTTGATTTTTTTTTTTTTTTTGAACTAAAGATTTTTTTTTTTTTTTTCTTTGGTTTGGTTCCACTTCTGATTTGAAAGGGGTTTTTCATGTGACGTTTTGAATTTTTTTTGTTTAAAATAAATTTAAGTACTGAATTTAAATACATCGAAAAGAAACCAAATTTAGCATCCAATCATCTTTAAGTATTAACAAGTTTAGCATCCTATCTTTAAGAGGATTTAAGGTTAAGATTTACCAAAGAAAATATGTTATATAAGATACTCTCTTTGGTAAATCTTACCTTTAAATCCTCCCAATAATGTTGCTCAATAAGCTTGTTATAGTTTTTAAGAAATTTCACTCATTATAAAAATTAATATTTATTTTCTAATATAAGTGGTTTCTTTGCTTTTGATTTTTCAACTTTTAACTAGATTGAAATGTGTTTTTGTTAAGAATGTTTTATTTTTTTAAAAAAAGAAGAGGCAGTTTTTTTTTTCTTTTTCTGTATTTCTTTATGATCAAACCCAGCACGTAAAAATCTTTTACAAATTCACAGAAGCAAAAAACTACATTAAAAAATATCAACAAATCATGTAAAAAAAAGGAAGCGAAAAAAAGAAGAGGAATAAGACAATGAAATAAAATATTAGAAGTGTTAAAAATCAAAGCCATAAAGCACCAGCTTGTCTAAGAGTAGGCAATAAATCACCATTGATATGAGCAGCCATCAGATTCTCCAGTCCTCCAAACAACTTCCCTCCTATGTACATCACTGGTAATTTCTCTTTATGATCACTTATGATATTGTCGTAGTTGTTTTCATCTGCTTCTTCATCACCAATCTCAACCACCAATGGGTTCACACCATGTGTCAGTAGCAGCCGTTTCGCCACGTGTCCCATACAACAGCCTCTCCTTGCAAACACCACCACAGCATTCTCCATCACCACTAGGTTGCTCGATCGCTTTGATGCTGGCTTTGGTGATGATGATGTTAGCCATGATAATGTTGATGATGATGGTTTCTCTTCATTCTTTGGTCGGCAAATGTTATTGCCCGGTACGGTCTTCGTCCACGATGACTCATATGGTCTTATTGCTTTTTGCATAATTGATGTTAGAGAAGGAAAAAGAGAGAGAGAGGGAAATAGAGAGAGATAGAGAGAGACTTTGTGTAGTTGGCTTATAAGTTTGGTAAGAGATTGGAATATTAAAGAATTTATATAGAGGATTTTGGAGAGCATATTGGGCTTATGGGAGGGGGGGTCAACGAAGGATGTGTAAACTGTATTCTCATGATATCCAAAGACACATCACCGTATCCAAAATAAAGATCTATAACCTATGATTAATATTCATATTAATGTTGAGTGTAAATCATACAAATATTAAAAAATACATTTAACTTAGGAGTGAAAGGTAGATTTTGAACTAATTGTCGGAACTCAAATGCGACAACTCAGTTATTCAAAACATATAAATTATCTTAGCGAGATGTTGTGTTTGACCTGTTGTAAATATAGTGTGAATTGTAGCAATTTTATAAAAATCAATGACTTGCACGATATAGTTGTTTATTTAAAACAAAATGGATGACGAAGACATAGTAAGGGGCTTACGACAAGGCTGATGTCAACAGATTTCTTTATTTGCTTAAAACTTATGTCATTATTAGTTTAAAAATTGTCTTAGTATGGTTACGTTTTTGTGGATAAAGGCAAATCATTTGTATGGACCATTAGATTTTTTAGATCAGCTCTATTACGTCATGACGGATGACTTGTTTTCTCTAACATTAAGTTATCAAATTTGTATTTTATATATCCAAGTTGAAACATGAGACTATACTCGACCTTTTTTGTAATTTCATGATAAACTAGAAACGTAATTGTTTTTCTTTTTATCTTCCATCGAAATACATTATTGAACCTCTCGTTTAGAATTAGTTGAAATTGCGACCTGATCGGAAAATACATGGCACCAACGTCACAAACCCCACAGGATGACGTACAAGTTTTGTGGAAAAATCTAACTAACAACTACTCCATTCGTCAAAAGAAAACAGCTCTGATAGAGAGAGAGAAGTAGGGGGAAAAATGACAAAAGATGGAGGGAGGAGTGGAGGACCCTCACCGTGACAAAACGGCATGACGTCTCCCTTTAACTTTACGAAACAGCAAGCTGTTCCCGTTTCCCTCTTTAAACGCGTGTTTTATCATTCATTTACTCAAAACATTTTAGTAGTAGCTTTTACAATTAATTTATTGGTTTAACGGTCATCACTCGTTTCCAGCTAGTTTCGATTATACATGACATCATAAATAAATAAAAAGCAGCCGTCGGTTATGTATGTAATATACATACAAACGATATAGACACCGAGAATACCAAGTCAAAAAAATTTTAATAAGTCGGCTTTAAAATTTGACGTCACCGGAAAATTCGCCGGAGTTTCGTCACCCCATAAAAATCCTAACCGGTAAAAGGAAGAAAAAGACGTCTCTATCATGGTGGCGCCGGCTATGCGTCATCAAATACAAAGGGTCCATGTTGCTATGCTCATACCAAATCTTATTATACGTATGCAATATATTGTTTTTCTAAAATTTTCCAATACAAATCCTTATAGGTCTACTAGATAACGTTGGCAACTCTAGTGGAGAAAACAAAAATTGAAGTGCAAGTTAACAACAAAGAACTTAACTGAATAAATATTATCTTCTAAGGATTGGTATGGATCTTAATTTATATCCGAATATTTATGTAAGCATGTCGTGTGTACCTATACTAAATAACTATTGGCATAGATCAGAGCAGATCATATGAAAATAGTTTTTTTTTGTTATGTTTAAATTCGACTTCAATCAATTTTTTTAGGAAAATATCAACGAAAAGTTTCATGGAACACAGATGAATAACTCTGACCAAAGCCAATCCGAGTTGCAGCATGTCGCTTAAGACTATTTTCAAAATCTATATCAAGAGGAAGGGGGTCATTTGGTCAAACACCGAACCGGTTCTTTTACTTCCAAGGCGGAGACTTTTTCTTTTTTAGCGAAAATAGTTGAAGAGAACTTACTACTCTTTCCTTCTTTTTTACTTCTTAGGCTCCAAGTTCATTTCTTGGAGGTTCAGCAACAGATCGTTGGAGCTTAGGTAAACCTTGTTAGCAGATTGTGCAATGGTCTGCGCAATCTCTCTCGCAGCTTCAATCTTTCTCAAAGTGATGAATGCCTGGTTGTTTGCAATTGCTTGTCCGATAAGCTGAGCACTCTTAGCTTCTCCCTGCACAGATACAATTAAAAGACATAATGCTTTAGGCCGATACCTAATAACCTATTAGATCTGCAATAGACATCTACAATCATATACCTGGGCACGGATGACCGCGCTTCTCCTGTCTTGCTCAGCTTTCTCCACAATGAACTTAGCCCGTTCAGCTTCCTGAGCAGCGACTTGTTTTGCCTCGATTGCTGCTGTGAACTCTTTGCCAAATGTGAGAGTCGTAATTGAGACATCATCAAGAGCAATGTCGAAGTTAGACGCTCGCTCTGTCAGAATCTTGCGTATCTCTCTGCTCACAGCCTAGATGATAGTAAACGCAGACTACCATAAGAAACAAAAGAGCAGAAAAACTTGTAAAAGAAGAATGTTGAGATACATACTTCTCTCTGTGTTATGAGCTGACTTGCATTATACTGAGCTACCACTGCTTTTAGTGTTTCATGGATGATGGAAGGAAGAACCCTTTCACTGTAATTCTCGCCAAGGGTTCGGTAAATCTGAGGCAAGCGGTCACCCATGGGACGTGTGAGCACCCTTAGTCCAATTTTCACCTGTGCAACAACCAAGAAATATATTAGAAACACAGAACACGCTTAAGGAAAAAACACACTTCATTAACTTGCTCCACCTAAATTTAACCTCATCCTAAAGCAAGTTCAATTATATATCTTGTTACATAGTCAGAAACTAAGCTGAAGTGACACAAACAGAAACGAAAGCAATATTTAGTCAGAGTTTTCTCCATTTCTTTTTCAATCAAGTATCTATATACTCACACAGGTCATAAACGAACCTACATTTATTATGCAATATCCTAACAATAACAGAGAAAGTCAAATTTAATCTGCAACCCCATAGCGATAGATCATACATAATATTACAAAGACACACAGAAAAAAACAAAAGAGAAGCACAAGAAACCATAACGCACCATCTGAAGATCATGACTACCAGTGGTGCTCTCTACAAGGTAAGGTCGTGCACGAACGTCATAGATGATTGGCCTTTCAAACCATGGCAACATAAAATGTGTGCCTTCCGGGTAAACCTAAACCACAATCAGAGTAAAATTCATACATTTTCAAAGTAACTACTCAAGACGCAGATTCAAAAGGTAAGTATTGTTAGTTTGAGAAACACAAAACCTTTTCCTTGATACCAGTTAATCGGTTAAACATGACAGCACGGTGTCCTCCATCGACATTGTAGAGACTATTAGTAAGGGCATAGACACCTAGCCCACCAATTACGCTGACCTTAAGGAGGGCAGAGAGAGCAGGAGATCCAGGAACGTTGGGAACTTTGTTGAAACTCATTTCCTGTGACCAAAAAAAGAATGAAAGCCTTTGTAAGCAATTAAAGAACTTTATTATAAGTAGCAATTAAAAACGCCTCTGGGATAAAATCATTTGTAACATTGATAAAACTATCAATGCACAATCCTCCAATTCAGAAAAAAAAATCCAAGAGAGCAAACACAGAACTGGTGTTCCTAAGAGAATCGATGGACAGCCAACAAGTGGAGAAACATACGATTTCATAAAGATCGCACAAGAAAGCTTCAGAAACTGAAAGATCCCAAAGCTAAAATCGATCCAGCCATTCAACATTATCAAATAGATTCAGTATCCATAGATCGTGGGCAATAAACTTGAACAAGAACAGACCCAACAATAGCTTTCACCAAATGACGATTCTACCTCTAAATCACGCAAGGACTATCAAACTGAACGACAAGCGAGAATTTTATCGGCAGAGCATACCAGTAACACAGTAAAAATTCCACGAATAAGTGGAGAGAGAGAGAGAGAGAGAGAGATTAACCTAAGCTCAGCTCTTGATCACCGGCGATGTTAGGGTTTAGGAAAGATCACGATCGGAGCTGCCGGCGAATCTTAGGGTTTTAGGAAGAAATGAGAAATGGCGAACTATCTTCTAGTATGTTCTTGCTCAATTGCTCAGGCCTGTTAACTATTTTATGATTCATTATTACCCATTATGTATTTTCCAAAGAGGCCCATTATGTCATATATAATCATGTTAAATTTTCATGGTTTTTTACTTTTTTTTTCTTTACATCCGCAAGTGTTTTAAGAATTTTATGAACTTATTATTTGTACGACAAATGCACATGGTCTAAAGATTGGAAATTATAAGAAAATAGTCGCTCACTATATTTCTAGATACTCTTTATAATTTAGTGTTTAAGAGTGTGTGTTACAACTTACATTATAATAAAAACAACTCTCCGAACGTAATCAATATAACCGGTCAAATTTAAATAATAGAGCAGCAAAAGTAGTTTTATGGTCCATATATATGTCTACTAGTAATAGACTAATCGCGTGTGGTGGCTATTTTTTCGGATCTGATGCATCAATCAGAGTAATCAAATACTAATCTTTACAGTTTAATCGGCTTTACTATTAAATAATTTGATTGGACTTTGAGTAGTTTAGAGGTTTCATGTAGCTAGAGTTAAAAAGTGATGAAGTGGAACTTGTAATAAATATACATAAGCATCTCATCCTTCATCAATTGTTGTTTAGCTATAAGAGTTGAGACATTACATGTGAGACCGAATATTTCTTTTGATTAAACAGAATTTTTTTAGGTATAAACAATAATTTGTTATAGTTTCTGCGTTGGCCAAGAAAAGAGAGTTATCCACATATTGCTCACTTCGACAGACACAATTGACAACTTACATAGACGAGAATAATAAGTAAAAAAAATGTCACATTTTATTTCATTTGATGAATTTAATTAACAAATATCATACTTCAAATCGGAGGATAAAATCAATAGAAACCAAAACAATTCATTGATATATTAAAATTTCAAAAGAGAAATTTCAAACATAAGACAACAAGTCCAAGACCAAACCCTAGTCCGGTTTTCTTCTCCCCGGAGCTTGACTTATCTGATGGCGAAGCTGCCGCCTTTTTAGTGGATTCATCATCGGAAACCCCACTAGATGGAGATTTTTTAGGGGCAGGGGCAATGGGCGAAAGCTTGTGCTCTCCGAACATCTCACCCGGCAACAAAACCATGTCGACAACATAAACTGCGAGAGGACGTTGTTGCCTCAACGCATTGCTGATACGTGTCTCCACATAACCAGTTGAGACGTTGATTTGATTTGTTTGACCGGTGATGTTAAGCCCGTAAACACCGTTGTCTCGGCCAGAAGCTTGAGTCCTAACGGGGTTGCTCACGGAGAGGAGATCATCCATACTGTAATATTTGGGGCTGACGTGGTAGAGAATGAGTTTAACTTGTTCGTCTGAGCTTAACTTGTTAAGGGTTCCTGGTTTAAGGTTTTGAAAAGCATTGTCCGTTGGTGCGAACACCGTCATACCCTCAGATGAACTGTTGAGCTGAATGTTCACTTGGCTACCGATTTGAGTGATGTTCAAAAGATGGATGAATGTAGTGAATTGTCCGCCTTTCTCAAGGATCGCCGTGAGGTTGATGGGACCAGCAGGGCCTGGAGCGGGGGCTGCTGGCTGAGCCGTGGCCTTAGTTGAGAGAAGTACGGCGGCGATGAGGAGGAGAGGAGCCAGAGCTAGACGAGTGGTGGCCATTATTGGTTTTGTTTAGTTAATGGGTGAAGTGATGAAGAAAGTGAGATGGGAAGGTAATGTTTTATATCGAAGTTGGAGTGTTTGAAACTGATGAGTTGTATCTGTGTTGGAATGAGATGGCCAAGTCGATACAAATCGTTTCTAGACAAAATAATGTCTATTATTAACATACATATATATGTATGTATATGAATTCATGTATACATATATATATATATATATATATTAGCCGTTAAGATCCGGTTAATTAGTACTAAAAAATAACATTTAAGAAGAGTTTTAGAATAAGAATATGAGGTTGGTGGATACGTCGGTAGAGCCCACACCACATGTAATGAGATCGAGGGTCAATAATTCGAATTTACATACAGTTTTGTATAGAAGATAATGTTCGACAACACAACTTAAGGTGGACGTATCTCGCGAGGGAACTGAAAAAATCCTTGACGTAAAATCTTCTACATTGAGTATATACCAAAACATGCATATAGGTCCTCGTAAGTATAGTCAGATAGAACCTTTCAAGGAAAATATAATTTGCTGTAATATAAAACTCTCGAGGGCGTTAATAGAATTATCCCTTTAAAGTGAATCTATGTTATTAAGTTACTGAAGTTGCTGTATTATAAATGGTTAACTAACATAAGTATATGAATTGAAAACTTAGAAGAGTCGAGATACTAAAAAGAGTAATTAATTATTTGTAACATTTTCAGTAGTATCAAAGTTTTTAACTTCTTTGTAATGGACTAGCAGGCAGAATATAGTTTAGATACATACATGCATGTAAGCATATATATAGATGCATAGTCATGTATGCATGTAGCATGGTATGTATCATGTATGTAGGAGAATATATGTGTGTGTGTGTTCTGTAAAAAGAACAAAATGAGTGGACAAGCTGATTAAGTGACAGCTGGGAAACACAAGTTGGCATGTGATGTGGGAGAGTGGAAGACCCATAAGTTTATATTGCTACTCATCACTAACATTTTGCAGAGATATTCAATTAATTAAGAGGATAAGCTTTACTAATTAACTTGTTGATATTATGTTATATATATATAGCACACCTAAATACATTCCTGGTATCATCATCAGTTCATTGTAATTGTATAATAGAGGATGGCCCGTGCTTTCGCACGGATGATGTTTTTTAAACTAAAGATATAATTGGATTTGTATTAATATTTGTTATTCAATAGTATAGGATAAACATATTAGTCTTATATATTTTAATTTTAATTCTATAGAGTTAAATCGCGTGTTGATTTGTATATTTTAACTGTATAGAAAGTAAATAATATATACAATAGTAATTAGGTCTGGTTTTAATATAAGTACGTATATATTATATTTTCCCTAAAACCGTTAAATTTATCAATCACGGACATTACCTCAACGGTGTATAAGAAAATGCAATCTTTTAATATAATTTACAAAAATTGTATATCGGTTGAAAGATAACATAAGTGATATATAACAATTTCATAAATTTGGATAATCTA